ATACTGAGGGTGTGTTCTAGTATGGAAGAGACTCCCACCAGGGAGAAACTAGTTGGAAAACTGGATAGAGTTAAAAGGTGGAAAAAGAAAGGAAGTTTCTTGGTTTTATATAAACATGTCAGTCTACACAGGCTTCTCTGAGTATCTTTAAGTTTCTTCCTCCAACCTGGACACTGTAAATAATGATTCTAGGTTCTGGGGCCTTCATGGTAAGTGTAACAGGGCAGGGGAGGGGGGTGTAGAATCACACTCATTAAACCCGTGAAGGATTGCTATGGTAAGAAAGGCCTTACTGATTCTCAGAAACTCCTCAGGGCAGGACAAAGGTCCATGCACTTAAGATGAAGTGGTGCAGGTTGCATTTAGCAGGCATTCTTGTGCTGTGAGCTCTACCCAAAATGGAACAGAGTCCCTGTCCCCAGCAGTGCTCAGACACAGCCTACAGGAGTGAGTGGGTTTAAAGAGGAAGCCCAATTGAGTAAGCTGTTGGACCAGTGTTTTTCAGTGATAATGTTACATGCTTCATGGTGCTTTCCACAATTTTATTTCCAATGTAATACAGCTTTCCTAGTTACAGTAAAAGCAGCAGCAGAGTTGAATACTGTTATGGTTTGAATACCAAATGTCTCCCATAAGCTCATGTACTGAGGCTTGGTTGCCAGTGTGTGGACTTTGGAGAAATGATTGAGTCTTGAAGGGCTCCTGACCTAAACAGTGGGTTAACGCCTTGACGGTTTCACGTGATGGCATTAGTGGGAGATGGTGAAAGTGGGAGGTGGGTGGGCCTCAGTGGAGGAAGTAGGTCACTGGGGATGTGCCCTGGAAAGATGTATCTTGACCCTGCCCTCTTCTCTTTCTTTGCTTCCCAGCCACCATGAGGGTGAGCAACTAAGTACTACCTCAGACTCCCTGCCATGATGTGCTGCCTCACCACAGGCCAGAAACAATGGAGCCAACTGACCATGGACCGGAACCTCTGAAACTGTGAGCCAAACCAAATCTTCCCTCTTTTTACGTTGTTTCTCTCAAGTAACAGCAACAAGAAAGAGAGTAACGCAAGTATGCTTTTGAATGCTCGGTCTGGCTGCATATTAGCTGTGTGACCTCTGAGTCTCAGTATTTCCATCTGTGAAGCTAGAACAGTATTTCCCTACAGGATTATTAAGAAGATAAAGTGAAGAAAGGGTAATTATGAAGATAAAGAATATGCTTATTATAACACCTGGCCAAGAAGCAGGACTTCAAAGATGGTAGTTATCATTAGCTCAGGGACAGACCCTTAACGAGGTGCTAAGGTCAGAAACACTTCCTTTCTGACCACAACCCCATGAATTACTCCTTTACTAGATATGGTAGGAATCCAGAACCCCTGGGACTTGAGGTGGGAGCAGAGGCATTGAGCAGCACCATAGAAGAAGAAGCAATGAAGTATAAAAGCTAACACACATCTGGAATCATGAAATGAGACCATTTTCAGTATGCAAAATTATTATAAATATTCAGCTGCTTACTTTGATGAAATGAGTCAATTTCTGTTCCACCTGAACAGAAATATTTTAGAGATGAAATTCAAACATATAAGCATGAGTAGCCTCTTTGGAAAGAGCAAGGTTTTGAAGGTGAGCTCTCAATCTCACTGAGACTGATACAGGTAATACAGAAATCTGTACCACACAGGGCTTTAACTACACACTATTATCTCAAGGAAAGACTTTGTATTTTTGGCCCAGCAAAGAGGCTGTTGGCCATCTGTAAATGGTTACATGCTAACCACCAGAGGTGAGCAGTTTCAGAAGCACTTAGAGGAAGAAATGAGTCCTACTATTGGAGGAAAAGCCAGTACAACCTCTGCCACCAGCACTTAAACATCATCCTTGCAACTGCAAACACCTATAAAGCCGTCAGCATCTGGTAATGAACAGCGAAATAACACACACGATCAGCAAACAAGTGGGTGTGTTTTCCTCTTGGATCTGCACACTGTAGGACCGATTGCTACCAGAGGAGTCCCTTCAACAGATGTTGTTTCTTTTAATGTCAACAGGAAGTACCATCAACAGCCAATAAGGGGGAAACTAAAGTTATTGATGAACTCCAGCTCCCTATTAATGGGTAGAGTGAATGTGAAAATAAAAGCCAAAAAAGAAAGCAAAAGTTTTATATTTTTCATTACATTACCAAGGATGATTTAAAAATAGCTAGCCAGGAATCCTGCAAAAATGCCCCCTTATGTTGTTCTTTTAGAAAAGTGTAACATGACTGCATTAGTTACTTTTCTTATCACTGTGATGGAATGCTTATCAGAAACACCTTAAGGGAAAAAGACTGATTTTGCTCATGGTTTCAGTTCCTCATGGCAGGGTAGGGTGTGGCAGAGCAGTTTACATCATGGTAGATAAGAAGCAGAAGGGAGCAGAGGCAGGAAGGAGCCAGGGCAAGATATAGCCCCCAAAGACACTCCACACAGTGATCTAATTCCTCCAGCCAGGACCCATCATCAACAGTCTCACTACCTCCTAATAGTCTATTGAAATCTTTAATCTATCTATGGACTAAATCACTCATTAGGTCTGGGCCCTCACAATCTAACTGTCACTGGAAATGCCCTCACAGATACACCCAGGGCTGTGCTTTACTAATTTCCTAGGTGCTTCATAATCCAGCCAAATTTATAATCATAATGACCCTTTACTGGTGTTGAAAGAGTAATGATAAACTATAATAATTTCCCGTTTCATTTCTATAGCATTCTTAAAATGACAAAACTTCAGAGATGAAGAACAGATTAGCAGTTGCCAGGGGATGCTTGATAGGCAAGGCAGGTGAAGGTGGCTCAGGCTATAATGGACACTATAAGGGAGACTTGCAATGGAACTGTTATAGATCTTGAATAGTGATGGACACAGACATCAATATGCACAAAATCACATAGAAGTAGACACACACACACACACACACACACACACACACACACACAAAAGAGTGTGTGGAAAACTGGAGAAATCTAAAAAAGGTCAATATACTATATTAATGTCAATATCTTGGTTATAATATTATACCATAGTCATGCAAGATTTTACTATTGGGGGAAACTGGGTGAAGAGCATAAGAGATCTGTTTACTTCTTACAACTGAATGTGAATTCAAAATGATCTTAAAATAAAAAGCTAAAAACCATTAAAAAATGGGAAGCTGCAAAACTTTAGGTCTTTGAAGGATGTAAAAGGTCTAAAGCAACTCAGCCTTTTGTTGAAACCATTTTAAGGGCACAGACAGAACAGCCTAATGTGAACAATGAAGTTAGTTTAGACAAATTACAGCTAAGTCTCATTATGGAATTCCTGTAAGTCAGGGTCTCAATGGTAGGTAAGTGAGACATCAAACAATTTATACCTGCAGCTTTGATTTTTGCCCTCATTGGGCAAAGAGGTTTTGTGCTATCATCCACCCCCAGGCAAACCATCCACAGTGTGCAGAGCAGTTTTAAAACCACATTCTTTGCCTGATGTGGCACATGGCCCTTTCAGATGACAATCTTATGAAGGTCTATTAATGCCAGTTAAAAACTACTTGTGTGTTGCAGTGTTCCTATGTACTTTCTTATTTTGTAACCACTGTGTGTGTGTATATGGGGGGTTATGGGTAGAAGGTTGGTTAACAGTTCGGGATCCCTGTTCTAGTTGCAGTTCTGACAGATGCATTTGACATAAAGAATCTTTAAAATGAAAACTGATACACACTCGCCTGTGGAATCATAATCATGAGTACATCAGGAGAGCTCCACGTAGGATGAAAAGAGAAGTGTCATGTATAATTCACTACTGTTTTGTTCTCCAAGAGCCCCAGAGAGAATGCCTAAACAGAGACTAATAGTGTATGGTGGAGGGGAGGGAAAAACACACTGAAACAGCAGCCCAGTTTTCTTCAGTTTGCCCTTCTCAATTTTTTTTGATTTATAAGAAAAAACAGACTAAGGAAAAAAAAAAAACTCACTGTAATTATCAATTACAGATGAAGTTCCAAAGTCACACAACTTTTATTTTAGCACAGATAGGCAGGGAATGACCAAGAGACAAGTTCCCTCAACACTTCAGTTCAGTTCCCAAAGGGTCGTGCCTTTGGAAATATCACAGTGAGTGATCATGGGGGCGGGGGGTGGGATTCAAAGCCTCTGTAGACACTTTCACAGTATCTTAAAAACACAGCAAAGTGACTTCAGG